GCGGCGTATGTCGTCATCCGGGAAACCACACGTAGAACGTAGATATCTCCCTCCCGAATTTCTCGACGGTCACAACAATAAGTGGTGTGCATTTCATATTCCCGCATTAGCCATTCGCTGTGATGAGCGACCTTCAGAACGGCATGCTCTAGGCTATCTGAGTGATGCACGCGCCTCTTCAAACGCCCGTTGGCGTTCTCCAGGCGGTTGTTGGTCACATTCCCAAAATGTACCAACCCACGTTGTGCATGAATGGCCCACTTTCGAGTGATGTGGAGCCAGTGGGCAGTCAAATAAGAGACAAAACTGGGATCTGTTCGCCTCAAGATTTGCAAATCGTGGCGAAATCTACGGGATTAGTGTTTGGTGCACAGTCACTTACTCAGCTGCATTATCAAAGCGAGCCATGCGGTGGAATATGTGTCGACTGTGGTTGGAAATTGTCTGCAAAAGTTACACCAAAGCTATGAAACATACGTGCTTCCGGATGGCTTGCCGTGCGTGAAAATAGCACAGCATTACGTCGCAGCCAAATACAGCTTTGGCAGCCCGCATCTGTGAAGTCATTTTGTCCATGACGAACGTTTTGACTGCATATTGTCCACCCATCATATCCTTGAACAAGCTGAACAGCTTGCGCAATGGCGCAAAATGCTCGCTTTCGACAAAGGCATACATTACGGGTCGACCGATCCCCATGCCATCTGTCACAAGGAATGTATAAAGCTTGTAACTTAACAGCGAACGTCAGTGGCTCGAAATTTATTTACCCAAGACGGTTAGTACCGTGTGTAGCATCAACGTTTACAACGTCCGGGAAACGTCTAAAGAGTGCTATCTGCTGCGTTCGAGAAAAGCACAGGTGACTATATCTGCCACCCTCCGATTCCACCAGCAGCACGCGACCGCACTCTCGAAACTTGGCTATGATGGACGACATGTCATCTAAGAAACCAACTAAAAGGTAACCAACGACCTACTTAACAATGGGGGTCGACACTTGACGCGATAGTTACGCACATCCTTGATAGTGAGTACCTTTCCAAAGTGGTCGGCGACGTACTGCCGAATCTCCGATGACGGAGCACCGTATTTCAAAAGGGTAGAACACTCCTTTAATTCATCATTTGTCAGTCGCCGGTTGATGGGGAGCCTGTCAAAAATAAACTTGCTGCGTGGATGGTTGTGCTCCAGGTAGTAGGAAGTAACCCTCAAGCAGTCATGGTACCGGCGAACGTGGAACCTTGCCGGACAATCAGTACGACGTGAGCTACAAAGTATACGAGTTCAACCATAAACTTACTAGGTGCGACGAATTCCACGGCTTCTGCTTCGTCTGCAGGGATGTCTGCTGCAACGGTACGAGGTTATTCATACATCCCGGGTCTTGAATATCGTGTGGGTTGAGTAGATTTAAACAACTTTCAACAAAACTGCGGCCGTTTGGGAAGATCTCATACGCCCGAAAAATTACCATCAAATGTTAAAACTTTGTGTTAAAGTTTTCCTCCTTCGAACCACGGTTTCAGAGAAATTTTCGGCGTGCCTCTAACCCACGGCCACAACTAACACGCAGCTAGAGGTTCATGATGATTATCATCTGGCCGATGCGTGTCCATCTATCTCTACCAGGAAAAGTCAAAGGTCTAGAATGAAGGACATGAAAAATTAAATTTTATTTGTCCTTTTTATTAGCACACGTTTCCTGCCGGAAAGCGCAAGACTTCAGTGCGCAGTGATCACTTAGCTACTGACGTCCTGAAACGCGAGGAAGATAAAAGTTTGGTTACAGAATTATCACTACGAGGCGGTCGGCTAACAAATTTGGAGCAATACCTAACATATTAATTAAGCACGTCAGTGGCGACAATCTCGCATTGGCCGACCTGAATAACGCCATCTTCAAAAGCTGATGCACAGTGCGTGATTTCTTGCGGCTTAGTGCCTTCTGACTGTAACCCCTGAAAAACACAAGAACTGTATGTAGTGCACAGGGTCTGATTACCAGAACAACAGTCTCAGTTGATGGGCCTTGCACTGGTCACACGAATTCATTATTGTCTCTAGTTGGCCCTCTGCAGCGTTAGTTCTCGTAATAAGACATTAACTCATTGCTGCCGAGTATTTCTTCCTAGGAACCATAAATCCACCTAAAGAAATCTGACACGCACTGCGTTGGTACTGTGTGCTTCTGACCAGGTCAACAAGATGTGATGCCTCCGCAGGCAGTTTACAAAGAACACCTTTGCGTTTTCCGTACCGGCGGAAGCCAACAACTAAAAATAAATTATTCATCCGTGGGGTCGTATAAGAAATTGCTCATATTCATGAGGACCTGAGGGGCAGCGGTAGACGACACCGAGAGTGTGAGAATGAGACCCGCGCAGCAGGTTTGAGTCCGGGGCACCGAAGGGGCCTCTGAAGCTGCTTCCTGACTTTTTGGTTTTGAGGGATGCATTTTATTTTCACAGTTTTTCTCTCCGTATGGACCCGAGTTGCGCGGGCTTTTACTGTTGAGGGACGAAGTTTTTCTCATGCGTGAAAAATTAGAACACTGCTACTTGTAACACTTTCGATGCCGCCGTTTTGAAGGCCAGATTTACCGTCAATCAAGTACTTCGGGTGAACTTGCGTCTGTCCGGTTTCTTCGGCATTTCTGCGCGATTTGGTTGGAAAGGTGTCCCTGTGAAGCCCTGAGCGCTAGATGACATCACTGAGAAATAATCCTTTAAGTGACGTTCTCATGGGACTGGGTTTCGCAGAGAACGGCACCTTGAAGCCAGCCCACATTTTCTTGGTTTGCTGAATCATATGTGGCTTGGTTGGCTGCAGTCGATTCCATTTCTTGTTTGTGTGATCAACTAAGCCGCCCGCAATCCGTGTGGGTTTACAAGAGATTGTGTTCAGGTTTGTTGTTTTGGTTGTCGCATTCTTATGATACGACTCTGTCCACAACCAAAGAGGCCACTTTTGACTGAGTGGCGCTGGAGATTAGCAGTTTCGCATTTCTCAGAGTTGTACGGTTCTCGCAGAATTCTCCGATGTTGGGGTCAGCGCATGTTGTTGATTTGTCGGTAGGCTTCGCCGCCTGGCTCAGCCCATCTCAGAAGTTGTGATTTAATCATGAATTTCACTGCCGCACGCACGTCGTCTGTTGTGGAAAGAAGCGCTTGTAGCTCTAGTACTTTGGGTGTTGCTTCCATATGAGCCTTGTCTCCTCCAAATCATTGGTGCCTTTGGTAAACGAGGGGTCTGTGGTGGTTGAGTAGAAGCTTCTGTCTGAAGACGCGGCCGGTTGCGTCGGTGTGCTTGCTGGAGCACGATGGGGATGTGATTATAATTGGTTTGGCCATAAGTTGGGGTCATCTGAACTGGCGCCCAGTGGAAGCCTGTTTCGTGCCTCTCCCTCAGAACGGCTGTGGCCCAGCTTTGGCGTATATTGATGGTGATCCTCAGATGGATCCTGATCGTTGCGTGGGCCTTTTGAATGCTGACAGCCCGCTCCAAGAGCTTCTGTGCTACAGATGGGGAAGAACGGGTGACTAGAAGCCCAAGTCTTAGCTTGCTTCCCTTCTGGCCTCACCATTCTGAATGTAGCGATTCGTGTTCAGGCTTTGTGAGGACACAACCATGAAGCTACTGTGCCAGCTTCGTCGGCGCGACTTTTCTGGAGAATGACCCCCAGATGATCAGTCTGCTCACCCTTACGCTCACATCTACCAGAGACGCCGTAGCAGACTTTATTACCGCGTCAGAAAGCTGGATGTCTTTCCTCACAGCCTGTGAACCTGGGATGAGGTACTCTCTCAGCGAGGGAAGTTGGTTATCAACTTTCGTCCAGGTCTCTGCGTTATTTGTTATTCAGGGCTAAAGAAAGAAGCTCAGGTTTCTCATGGAGTATTCCGATCAAAGCGGAACATTAACACTGATATTTCTGATTCAGCAATGGGGATTTGGTGGCTCTTTTCTTAGTTTCGGTGTGCGTTGCTCCCTCAATGTAGTGACTGGCGCAAACTAACGGGTCAGAAGAGTTAGCTAGTTGGCTTACCTGGCTTACCTTGCAGGTGTGGCATTGTGTGCCGCGTCTAACGTTCGACGGACTGCCATTTCGCCCAAATATGTAGTGGTCCATCGACGCCTGCAGAGAACACCGCTACGCACAACTACGCACTGATGATGTCACCTCGATTGGTGATGAAACGTTTGCAACCAAATTGCCCAGCTCAGTGAACAAGCCAACGACCAAGTTTCTGTATTCATTAGTGTCATGATTGAGACTGGGTACAAAATAGGAAGTGAATGCCAAATAAGACAGTTTATCACGTAAATGTTTTCAGAGAGAAAATTCAACAAATGCCATGTGTGTAGTCTGTAAATAGATTGAACGGTGAAAAATTCTTTCACAAACTTGCACGAGCTAAAAGCGAAACCAATTTCGAACGTACCGCGTGGCTGTACTCAGAATCCGCAACGAGTATGTTAGCCAACGGAAGTTCAAAGCGGAAAAGAAACTAGCTCAAAGTTGACGATTGACCGTACTTCAAACGAATAAATGTACAAATCAGCAACGAAAATAAGTGAGAATTACTTGTTCGAGGGGAAGAATATAGTCAATTAAATACCGTAGAATGGAGCGTGACTTAGATTATGAGAACAGATTCAGCACTTAGGATAGCGTTCAGTTCTGTCAACCCATGGACAAGTGAGATGAGGGTTCCACTCTCTGCCTTCTTTATTTCAGATACAACCTCAGACCAAATCTCGGTCAGAAACCTCGTACGCACACCCGATTTTACACGTTTGTTTTTTAGCACGCGTGTGCAGGAAGCCCTCCCATGGCTCACGGATTACCTCGATATTGTAGCAAGCAGGTATACTTGAAGCTGCCGTGTACAAGGGACAAGACGAAAATTCGGGTTTGCAGTGTCGTTTATGAAGCAATGCTGTGCTGCCAGGGATCATGCAGCATGGACTCTTCGTTTGGCGCGGCACACCATTTATTGCGCTACTTTCGCGCGCTGCCGGTCGTGCACATCCACACGCATGGCTTTCGCAGTTAAGACAGCCATTAACGCTGAACGCACATCCGCAAAGTTTCACAAAACAAAAACCTTTGACTACGACGGCACGGCTGATGTGACGACGCCTGACATCAACTGTGGTGAACCTGATGTAACTTTTCTTGTGGATCGGGATGTGTTTCATGGTCACCAGCATTTGTTCTCTAAATTCAGTAAAGTACTGGGTGAATGTTTTGGTGCATCCAAGAATGGAAATCACCAGACTTCAGCCAATATGGACAATAATCCTGGGATTTCAGCGTCGGCAACAATGAAGAAAGTCACCATTGATGCTCCTGTACCAGTTTTCGAAGCGGTCTTCAACTTTTGCTACACACGAAAGTAAGTAAATACAAATAGTCGTTGAATTTAACCGTTTTTTCTTTTGTTTATGGCGTGTGCGTATGCGAGTGTATGTGAGGAGGCCGCTTCGTCAACATGGTGGCTGAGATGCTGTCGTGTGGCTTAAGCCTCAACCGAAGCAGCATAGGTTGGGTTCAAACATGAACCTTCTGATCATCAAGTCCGTACGTTAACAGCCTAAGTTTTGATTTTTCGGAGGTTTTGGGCTTGAAACGAAGTTTCGTGAGATGTATACTGCGGATGATTTTCATTACTGATGAAGTGGGTTTGCCCCACTTACGGGGCGAAATCTCTTGAAAATTCCAAAACTTCACACCACTGCAAATTTATATACGTAAACTGACACGGTCCGTTGGCTGCGGAGCACGAGTGTTGTCCTCTGTTTTTGCTACCTGATGGCAATTATGTTTGGGAGATCTGTACGCGCCATCACAGTCGTCGTTGCTGTTATGATTTCCCTGGCATCAATGAGGATCGTGGATCGTGGCGCGATCCGGTCATCATCATCATCGACAGCATGACATTTGTGTTCAATGCCGATGTTTCACTGCCGTGTGCGAGCGATCTCGGGCAGGTGGCTTCAAAAGTTTTGAACGTAGATGTTTCATCAGTCGTCTGTCTGTCAAATCAGCTCGATATTGTTGATCCGCAGAGATGCTTTGCAGGTAGTCGTGTGAATGGCGTTCAATCAACAGTCGTCCTTTGGAGGGAAAGGGAGCACAGACAAGCTGCTCACACAATGATGTGGTTAAAGTCAAGCGGTGTGCTCTAAGGCGAATGACGATCTTGAGTGGAAGTTCTTTACCAGTAGCTGTTTTTCACATGGTCCAACTGACTCCAGGGCTAGTTTGTAGTTGGAAGTTTCCGGGTAACATGGTAAAAGCGCTTGTACTGAAAGCTCGTGTTGGTTGTAAATGGACGATGTGCAGCACTGGATTGAGGAAGTCGATCCCCGTTGTCTGTATGGTAGGCTTTCGCATCACCCTCCACACTCTGTACTTGTCGCTCACCGAGTCAACCGTGGCGAATCATGATAGAAGCTGTCTCCCTCGAGGTTTAGCAGTTAGGGTTTAAAACAGGGATATAAGTGTCCTATAAGCTGAACACGTCGACAGTCAGAACAGCGCCCAGGGTTGACACATCTCATGTTGAGAGGTTTGAACTAGCCAATCCTGCAATCGCAGGATTGCAATCTTGCTGCAATCTAATGTGACAAAACACCATTGTAATACTTTCTCAGCACGGTGAAACTCACTTTGGTAGAAGCATGCGAACGAGCATTTTCCGCGTTTTGATGCTTGGGAAATTTGTACCACGCACACGTTACGCTCCGAATGAGAATCTCCGTTAGCGTTCCAGTCGACGTCTGTAAGTTGGTGGCTGCCTAACGGTATATTCCTAACTTTCACTATGGTGACAATGCACGTAGACATTACGGGTGGTTTGTCTAGGTAATTGTCTGTGACATCAGTGACATTTTGAGGTCGTCTTGGTTTGGACACGAGACGCACGGACAACGGAGACCGGTTACTTCAGATGTTTGCCGATCACAGGCTGTTCCTTTGCAGTACGAATTTCCGGAACAGCGGAAATCGCTTGACAACGTGGTGCCCACCATCAAACCAGTGCCGAATCCAAATAGACCACATCGCCGTCAGTTATCGGTGGCGAGGGTCGATCACCGCCTATCGCCCCTTCTGGAACACCAGCGTGGACTCCGACCAGAGATGGCTCAAGTGGTTAGAGCGTGAATTTACTGACCGGAAGGTCCGTGGTTCGAACCCGACCTCTGCCACTAGACTTCCCCTGTCTAGGCCTGGGCAACCCGGCAGTATCCCAGTCCTCGTGCTTCCTCCGGGTGGTATGGCAGCTAGGCACCGGAAGGGTGCTACAGCTGAACGATTATTTTATTATTTTTATTATGTACTTGTACGCTGCTGCTTTTCATTGCGCTTTTCAGGTGTACGCAAAACGCGCACACCTCGCTTAGCCATTGAGAAGCTAGGGGACCCAGAAGTCAAACAAAACTATCAAAACCAGCTCCTCGAATGCCTGCCGGACGGTATGGTGTCGGATATAAACGGCCACTGGGAGAAAGTATCCAAGGCGCCTCTCAAAGCAGGAGCGTCTGCTTGTGGCACAACCCGGTCAACCTCATCCAAGCATTGGATCTCTGATAGGACCGTGTCCTTGCTGGAGACCTGGCGACAGATTCCACCTGGTAGCCACTACAACACCACCTGGCGCATCATCCGACGCCAGGTGAAACTAAGTGTCCGCGCAGACGGAGAACCTTGGTGGACCCGAAAGGTCGAAGAAATGGAAGATGCAAAGAATGCTGGAAACGTGCGCAAATTGTTCCACTTGATTCGTTCGACTGGTCCTCGGAAAGCTCTTGTCAGCGAAATAATCGGGGACAAAAATGGCTCCTTGATATGCAACAAAGCAGAACGTTTAGACCGCTGGGCACAGTATTTCGAGCAGCAGCTCAGCTGGCCATCTGCCACTTCCACTCCAGAAACCTGGCCTTCAACAGAAAGGTGGACCGTAAA